TTATGGATAGATTTAGGCAAACTTTTTTATGGACACAATTAGACCAGTTTATAGTTTAATTTATAGTAAATTATAATATATAGTAAATTATAACCTATAGTGATCTAGTAAATTATAGGATATTGAAAATTGTAATATATAGTAAATGATAATATATAGAAAACTATAACATATAGTAAACTATAGCATACTACACTATAACAAATAGTAAATTATAATTTAATGTAAATCTTCGGTTTTCAACATATTTTTCTATGACACATTAAGTCAGTGGTTCTCAACATTTCTAATACCGCGACCCTTTAATAAAGTTCCTAACGTTATGGCGACCAATAAACACAAAATATTTTTGTTGATACTATATAACTGTAGAGTATATGTATTTTTAGATGGTCTAAGGCGACCCCTGTGAAAGGGTCGTGCTACCCCCAAAAAGGGGGTCGCGACCCACAGGTTGAGAACCACTGCATTAAGATTATTTACTGGAACTCTGCGGCACATTTCTCAATGATTTTTTCAAATTATCATTTTGCTATTTGGATGATTAGCACAGTTTTCACGTTGTATACAAATCTCCCCCAACCCTCCCCCCCTCCCCCACACACACATAGTTTTTTAAAAGTAAAAAAAAAATGTTTTTGTGACATAGATTTTTATTCATGAACTCAAAAGACAAACAAAAACAAACACACACACACACAAACACCAGCGAGTAACCCTTGAATATTAGGCGACGCACCAGTGTGTGTCACGACACAGTGGTTCCAAACCTGTGTCTTATATGAAGATATAATGTTATTGTAAAAACACTTGGCGCGGTCAGATAGGAAACGGGCAGAAGTGAAAATGTCAAACTACCACACGAGGCGTAGATTGAAAGTCACTGCAACTCACAATGGCATGCCTTTTTTTTTTTTTAAAGTTGAGCTGAATCCCTTGAACTCTTCAGTTTCAGTCAACGGGTTGCTGTACAACGCCATAAATTTAACCTTGGCCATGACATGACCGGATGACAGTGGCCTTTTGTGCGGGTCACAGGTGTGCTTGTAAGGGGTCGCATGCAGCCCGCGGGGCGCATTTTCGACATCCCTGATTTAGCTGACATGGTTTTTTTTTTGTTTTGTTTTTTTTGTATTTACTCTTCTCCCGTTTATTTTGCCTTATACTGACAGGGGGGGTGGGGGTGTCTTGTGTTTCAGTTACAGAGTCTCTCCTGTCTTGCATTGCACCACGTTTATTTTGGTGTGAAAATTGTTGTATAGCCTTTTATTATCTCTATTCTCTATTCTCTCTTACTTCTTTGCTTTGTTCACGCCAGAAGTTGTAAGTAGAATCTAGTGATTGAGTCAGCTGATATCTAGAACACTGGGATGGGGGAGGGGGGCAGTCAAACAATCTTCTCCAATTCATCGCGAACTTTTGTTAGGTTAACATCGACCTGAGTATCATAATCTATGTTCTATGATGTGCGGCTCAGTATTATCTTAAAACAACATTAAGCTTATGAACCCATTCCTTAGTATTTTGAAATAAGTCAAGTGTTCACTTTCTAAAATCGAAATTAACAAGGTTAAATTTCACTCGAGCTGTGATTATCAATGGCGCACCAGAGGTCGCATCTTTTAGGCTACATTGAAAAGTACGCTGTTGGACTTAAACTTGAATACATCCGAATGAAAGAATAACTCGTAAACATGAGAACCTGTGATTTTTTAATAACATTTTGAAACAAAAAAAAAAAAAAAAAACAAAAAAAAACCATTTTAGGCTAAATTGAAAAGTACGCTGTTGGAATTAAATTTGAAAAAATCCGAAAGAAAGAATAACTCGTAAAAATGAGAACCTTTGATTTTTTAAAAAAATTTTGAAACAAAAAAAAAAAAAAAAAACCCAAGAAAAACCCCATTTTCTTTACAACAAAACTACATCTAGGAGATACTTGAAACTTGGCTGTTCCTTCAAACCACCAAGCGTGTGCCTCTAGCCAAGCGTCTCTCTGTATGTCTCTGTATGTCTCTGGTTGGCTTCAACCCGAACAATCAAATCATCAATCAAGTTACATTTTTTCCCCCTCATTTCTTATTAAAGAACATGCTGGAATAAAATTGTACAATAGTTTGTGATTCCTCAGTTAATAGGCATGCAGGGGAAACGGTTAGAGCTTGCCGCGTGGGGGTTAAAATGCCATTAAATTGTAATCATTGACACACTCTAAATTAGATGGCGTTGGCCAAAAACTGAATTTAAATTTTTAAAAATAAATAAATAAAAGATAATAATGTAGTAAATTTAAAAGGAAATTAAGTCAGCTTTTTCTATAGGTGTTGTCAAATTGCTGATAGTTCTCACGCTGTAATCTCATGCTCTGAAGACCAGGGGCTGATTACCCCACCCACCCCACCCCACCCTTACCCTGGTCCGATGTACGCACTTCCTGCACGTGATGTAAGCGAGTAATTTGTATGGGTCAACGGGAATATAACAATCAAGATAAAACGTCCAGATGTTTGTTTTTAATATTTTCTATTAATGACAGAATATCTAAAGCTCTGTTAATGACATAATATCTAAACCTCTGTTAATGACATAATATCTAAAGCTCTGTTAATGACATAAAATCTAAAGCTCTGATAATTCTAGTTTTCACTTAAAAAATACTCGATGATGTCTAGGTTAACTTCAAGTCTAAATAAGCTTCTAGTCTAAATCAACTTCAAGTCTAAATTAACTTCAAGTCTAAATTAACTTTAAGTTGGCTTATATGTTTCACTAATGATGTTCGATTGTTTCTTTTCTTTTTTTAAATCTTTAATCGTCTCTATTTCTTTTCATTAATTAATGTCTTTGATTATTACAAGCACCCGTGGGTATGCACTCAAAGCATCGTAGTTTTTTATAATAATATCAGACTCCAACTTTTTAATCCACCCAAAATGTATCTCTGCATCCCTCTATTCTGACTTCTTCCTTTGTTTTTTTTTTTTTGTTTTTTTTTTTTTCCTTGGTTTTTTTGTTTTTGTTTTGTTTTTTGTGCCCCTC